AGAGAGAAAGAGAGAGGGGGGGAGAGAGTGAGGTAAAGAGAGAGTGACAGAGGTCTTGTTCAAACCTCCGTGGACCTGTTGAGAAATGATTGCGTGTGTGCACGTGGGCACACGCGCGCGCGCCTGTGATGATCAGATGAAAGAAAACAAGGTCTTTCAATTATCTCTCTCTCTCTCTCTCTCTCTCTCTCTCTCTCCCTCCTTTTTTAAAACCCGTTTTCAGCTACACCCCAGCCTGTTTTCTGGACACCAGTTGTGGTCAGTGAAATGGACACCATTCCCTTGGAGCTCTTGCCGCGTTGTCTGGAAAATTACCTTTTTACTAATTAATGCCTATCTGCAGCCTATGAACAAATGGCCTCTGACCTGTGTCCAATTGGCAGTTAAGCAGGCAGTAGCTAAGCTAAATTAGGCTACTTCTTTCCAAATGTCCTTTTTTCCCCAAATTATTTCATGCGTCTTTTTGTTTATATCAAAATGTATATTTAGTGTTTAAAGTACGTCTTTTCATGTTCAGGAAAGACTTTCAGTGTTGTATATTATTGTACTGTATATAACATTTTGGATTATTATTATTACTAAAGCATATGAGCAGAATTTTAACATATTAATTATATTGGTGTAAGAATCATTAAGTAAAAGTATCACTCCATTACAAGTATGAATTCAAAACTGTATAAAAGTCAAAGTAGTAGGTACATTTATGCAGGAAAACGGGCTTATGTCACCCTTGTATTATCTTATATTATTGGAAGTATTACCTATTGACATGTAAGTAGCATTTCAATGTGATAGTTGGAGATAATGCTGATACAGTCTACTGTCTAACAATGCATCATATTTTATTAGACTAATCAAGTTTGTAACTATATATATAATGACTGCTGCCAAAGAAAAGTACAACATTTAATGGTATTTGGAAGTATAAAGTTGCATGATTAAAATACCTTTGGATTCTACTCAAGTACAGTAACTGAGTATAAGTACTTATTGTAGTTACTTTCCATCACTGCACATAAGCTCCATTTGGGTAGTTTAATCAACAACAATGCCTGGTATTTCTGTAACTGATCAAATGTTTGGAAAGAGCATTTTATTCTGAAGGGTAACTTAAAGCTGTCAGATGAATGTGGAGTACAAAATCCAGTATTTACATAAGAAATATAATTTAAAGTAATGTAAGTACTCCAGTAAAGTACCTCAAAACTGTCCTTAAGTACAGTACTTGAGTTAACGCCACCACTATGAGCTGCTGTTCTTGCTTACTATGACAATATTGTGATCAATCGCTCTGTTATCAACTGCTGTGGAAATGTATGAGATAATACAGCTTTCTAATCATGTTTCTAAAAAAAAGCCCCCAGAGTATAACAGTATCCACTTCCACAGAATCATTCCACACTCGCTTATCGGAAGATGATAGGATATCCCATTCAGAGTGTGTGTGTGTCTATGTTTGTTTTTTATGTAAATCACTGAAGTTTGACCTTCTCTGACATAATTACCCTATTGACCAGACATTCAGTGGTTCATTTCCCAGAGTTCTTGCCTGGGGTCAGCCTGTCAGGCAAGGTTAACTGCTTGATAATATTTCTAAAGGGAGCCATAAACTGTGCATTAAATATTTGGGACGGCCTTAAGGCTATTGAGCTACCTGACAGACCGAAAACAATAAAAAACGCGCCGCAAATGCTGTTCTTTTGTTAAATGAACATGTCGGTTTTATTTGTGAAAACATCAAAGGTTGCAAAATGACAACACTTACTTGCTAGTACTGTACTGAACTCTAATCCTTCCATCTTGAACTGACTGATCACTCCATGAGATGACAGAAGTAGCAGGAAAACATTCTTAAATTGTCTTTTATGTGTGTGTGTGTGTGTGTGTGTGTGTGTGTGTGTGTGTGTGTGATAAAAACCACAGGCTGCTGATTAACAATGAAATAAGAGTAACTAAATGCTCCTGGGCAGCTCTATAGTGCCCGACACTGAGCTATCCTAATGGGAATTGTGCTCCACTCTGGGAAATAATGTTGGGGGTCATATTAGTGTGGGGCTGCTAAAACTGCCCCAATTGTCTATACCTAATGAACCCACGGGACCAAGACATTTTGGCTACAGAATAGGGATATTATCAGAATATTAAGTTCCTGTAAGGTTCAGATAAGTGTCACTGCAATCCAAAACAACAAAAAAGCTCATCACGAAATAAATAAATAAGTAATACCATTTCCCATGGAGACAAGATGAAAGCGTGTTTTCAGCCTTTAAAGATTTATTTGTTCCATCCAGTGTACAAAGGAGGCAGGTCCAAACAGTCACACTTTACTGTGGTGGATTTTTGTTATTTCTAAATCCAGACTCCTTAATTTATTTGTAAAACAATGTCTTTGGGCTATCTAGTCTCAAGTTAGTAATGGTGGCAATAGTGGAGAGTATCTTTTTTTTTCAACGTTTTTTATGGTTCAGTTAAAAATGAATTCATAACTAAACAAAAAACATGCTACTGTATGTGCAGAAAAAACGGTGTCCTTGTTTGACATGAGTGAGGAAGCAAGCATGGGGAAATATCCTGCAAATACATTGTAATGTAAATAAACAGATGTGTTTACCTACAGATACATGCCATCAGTGTTTCTATAAGGCAGGAAACACTGCATTATTCAGCGCTGTCTACATTTTTTTGCTTCATCCATCTGACGGAAGGGATACCTAGTGCGAGTGCTTGCATAAAAATTCTCTGATGTAAATGTGCAAAACAAGCAGTTCCTTGCTCTTACCACATAAAGCATTTAAACGAACAAGGCAAAAGGTTCATTGCCACCGAGCTGCTGCAGCATCAGCTCACAACAGCAATGAGTGACAAGCACAAATAATCCACCTTATTGTCTTCTGTATATTGAATTTGGTGTGTATTATGGAACTCCTTAAACTCCCCTCACTGTGTGTTGCCAGCGTGTGTATGTTTGTTAGGGCATTCACATTCTTCTCACAACTTTGGAGGGCTTCCGCAGAGGAACAGTGAATGTCACTCATTTACTCAGTCAACCGAATCTGTCTTTCAAAAAAAAGCCCTGCCTACGAGAATGATATTGTTTTTAATATGCAACGTTTTGCTGAGTCTGCATGTCTTTTGCAGCATCACCCTCATACTTCACAATCACGGTGATACCAAAAAGTCAGACTTGGTTCCAGTTTAACGCTTTTCTTTTGCAGAAAAACTCCACTGCAGCAAGTCTAAGTTAAAGGTACCTTGTTGAGTGTTTGACCACCTGTACTGTGGAGCAATGCTTTAACTTTTTATTATTTCATTGTACTTTCCGTTTCTCTGTAAAGCACCTTGGTCAACATGTGCCCTATAAATAAATTGATTTGACTTGACATTCACTGGCAGGAATCAAATGCCAAAGTTTCAGTTCCAGTTCAAATGCAGGAATCAGAATCAGGTTTATTGCCAAGTAGGTTTTCACGTACAAGGGATTTGCCATGGTAAGATGGTGCATTACAATAAACATGGAGTAATATAAATAAAGATCAAAATAGAGACAATATATACAATCTAACATAAAATAACCGTTATTCACATTAACAACTGTTATTTACAAGTAGTGTTCCCATCATGTAGATGGGTGGATGTCTGTATCTCATGCAGAAGAGTTCTGCACTCCTGTCACAGATCTGTAATTATCATTTCCATTTTTATTGACCATAACCACGATCTTTCCATAAGCCATAACACCATATCTTAAAGAAAAAGTTCCACAGTTTGGGAAATTCGCTTATCTGCTTTCTCACCGTGAGTTTGAGGAGTTATCTGTATGCTAATTTGAAGCTACAGCCAGCAGCAGGCCAACTTAGCTTAGCATAAAGACTGTAAGGGAAACAGCTAGCACTGCCCAAAGCTAACAAGATCTGCCTACTAGCACCTGTAAAGCTCACTAATTAACATGTTGTGTCTCTCTTTAATTGAATCCATACAAAAAAACATACACAATTGAGGAATGACAATAGACCTTTTCACAGCAACCATTTTGAGTAGGATAAACACAGTGTTACTAATGACACTAATTATTTTTCCATTACATTTAGTGTAACAAAGCCTTTCCAGTGAACATGCACAATAGCAGCACCCTGACTCTATTTTACCTGAATGGAACAGAACCCGTTGGTAACACCTGTGTTTACCATACTAATTCATGTCAAATGGCTGCTGTGAAGACGTTCTATTAGCTGTTTTACATGAAGTTATGTGCCAGATGGTAGCTTTATATTCAGAATACAGATATAAGAGTGGAGTGTTATTGCGCTTCTCATCTAACTGTCAGTAACTAAATAATACTTTAAGATGCCACACTATTCCTTTAACCATAGTTTATTTGCTATAGGTAGATATTGCAGGAAGTGAGAATTTAAAATGCAGGCTACAGAATATATTTATGTATATATATATATGTATGTTCTTGTTTGACAATAGAACTGGCCTGGACACATACTGTACTGTGTGTATGTGCAGAGCAAGAAGGTGATGTGATTCACTGCAGACTAAAGAGGGTAGTAGATGTTGGTGGTAATGTGCTGTAAAAGATAAGAGTATGTCAATATAAGTGGAAAAGAAGAAGGATGCAGCTTTGCAAATCTTTTATGAAGTCAGAAATGCATTCCACATATTTTCGTGTTTTGGTGAGTGATGTTGAATACAAATGTATAGTGAAAACCCCTCAAGCTACCTTTGAGTGCATAATTTGAAACGTTGTTAAAGGATGATAGACAGTTACTCATCGACCCTCCTGTCCTGCTAACCTGGAATTTTGAACCAGCAATCCCCCAGTCATAAGCCCAGAAGTCCAACATTC